TTTATTAAGCTCTTATTAGGAAAGACTGTCTGCTACAGAGGAAAGAGTACAACACAAGAATGAGAAGACTTGGGTCAAGTTCTGACTGTCCTCCTGCCCCGTGACCCCGAATGTAAAAGTGTGGTGGAAAGACTCGCTCTGTGTGTGCGCAGGCTTGTTGTAAGGACCAAGTGAAATCAAATGAAATAGTGCAATTGAAACCTTTGAGGAGCTATGCAAGTGTCAGATACTTATATTGTTGTGCATAGCTTTGTGCTTAGTGCTAGAGAAGAGCAAAGACGCATCTATTTTTATGCATCTATTAGTATACTTTTATTAGTCGCTTGTCTGTTTTTATTTTAAAATCTAGAAAGGATTTAAGAGGTTTATAAGTTTCTTTAGCTTGCTTGCCATCTGCCTGAGGCTTCGAGATAATTCCTTCACAATCTAAATGATGTCGCTAAGCAGTTTATAACTGAGCACCAAAGACATGGTACGGACAGCAAGCTCTATGGGGATTCAGGGGTGGGAAAACCCGTGTGCAGCTCTGGTCAGGAAAGGCCTCTGGACGAGGTGGTGGGTAGTCTAGATGCCTAGTGCCGCCCTACCTGTGTCAGAATTATAAACTCTTAGGTTAGCTCTGTCCAGTAGAAATATAATGTGAATCACATGTGTAATTTAAGATTTTTCTAGTAGCCACGTTAAAAAAAAGTGAAAGAAACAGGTGCAATTAATGTGAATAATATATTTTTATTTTACCCATTATATCTAAAATGGTATCATTTCAATATGTAATAAATATAAAAAAGTTAAGGAGATATTTTATATATATGTATTTTTTGTAGTGTTTTTGAAATCTGGTGTCTATTTTAACCCTTACAACTCCTCTCAATTCCAATTAGCCACAGTTCAAGGGCTCAGTAGACACATGTGACTAGTGGCTACCGGGTCAGACAGCACAGCCCTAGAGGGAACAGGAAGAAGGAAAGATAAGCAGAGAGAGAAGGAATAGACACTGGAATTTAATGAACATCTGCTAGAGACCAGGCAGGGCCAGGACTAGCCTTAGGTGGTTGATGAACAAAATATCAGATCCTATTTTATTTAAAATTTTGGTGTTTTGTTTGTCCTGATGTTTTTTACATCAATTTTGATTTTAAAAATTGCATTAAAATATTATTTGTCTTGATTACTGAGTATTTTGGCACCTCTTACATTTTTTGCCCAGGGCAAGTGCTTCACCCTAGTCCCAGCCCTGGCACCAGGCACTTTCTACAAGTTTTCCTAATACGTCGTTTGAGGACACTAACCTGAACCAAACTGAACTATGTGTTGAAAAGAGGAGTGAACTCCTCTAATTTACTAAGCCTTGGACATTTCTTTTTTTTTTTTTTTTTTTCTGTTGAAGTATAATTGACATACACTATCCTATTGGTTTCAGGTGTACATAATAGTGATTCAATATTTATGTACATTATGAAATGATCACCACGATAAGTCTAGTAATCCTCTGTCACCATACAAAGTTATTATAGTATTATTGACTATATTCCCTATGCTGTGCATAGTCTTCCATATCTTGGCTATTGTAAATAATGCTGCAGAGAATAGGGGTGCATATATCTCTTCGAATTAGTGTTTTGTTTTCTTTGGATAAATACTCAGAAGTAGAATTGCTGGGTCTTATGGTAGTTATATTTTTAATTTTTTGAGGAACCTCCATACTGTTTTCCATAGTGGGTGCACCAATTTATATTCCCACCAACAGTGCACAAGTGTTCCCTTGTCTCCACATCCTCACCAACACTTATTATTGTCTTTTTGATGATAGCCATTCTGACAGGTGTAAGGTGGTATTTCATTGTGGTTTTGATTTGCATTTCCCTGATGATTAGTCACATTGAGCATCTTTTCCCGTGCCTGTTGGCCATCTGTATGCCTTCTTTGGAAAAATGTCTATTCAAGTCCTTTGCCCATTTTCTAATTAGATTGTTTGTTTTTTTGACATTAAGTTGTATAAGTTATATATATATATTTTAGATATTAACTCCTTATTGGATACATGATTTGCAAATATCTTTTCCCATTTAGTGTGTTGCCTTTTTGTTTTGTTGATGATTTCTTTTGCTGTGCAAAACCTTTTTAGTGCGATATAATCCCATTTGTTTATTTTTGCTTTGTTGCTCTTATCTGAGGAGACTAGTCCAAAAAATATTGCTAAGACTGATGTCAAAGAGCTGACTGCCTATGTTTTCTTCTAGGAGTTTTATGGTTTTAGTTCTTACATTCGTCTTTAATCCATTTGAATTTATTTTTGTATTTGGTGTAAAAGAGTGGTCCAATTCCATTCTTTTGCATGTAGCTGTCCAGTTTTACCAGCACCATTTGTTGAAGAGACTGTCTTTTCCCCAATGTATATTCTTGCCTCCTTTGTCATAGAACAATTGACCATATGTGTGTGGGTTTATTTCTGGGCTCTTGATTCTACTCCATTGATCTCTGTGTCTGTTTTTATGCTAATTCCATGCTGTTTTGATTACTATAGCTTTGTAGTATAGTTTGAAATCAGGGAGCCTGATACCTCCAGCTTTGTTTTTCTTTCTCAAGATTGCTTTAGCTATTATTTTGTGGTTCCATACAAATTTTAGGATTCTTGGTTGTAGTTCTGTGAAAAACGCCATTGGTATTTTGATGGGGATTGCCCTGTATCTGTAGATTGCTTTGGATAGTATGGACATTTTAATTATATTAATTCTTCTGATCCATGAGCATGGTATATCTTTCCATTTATTTGTGTCATCTTCAATTTCTTTCATCAATATCTTATGGTTTTCAGAGTACAGTTCTTTCACCTCCTTGGTTAAATTTATTCCTAGGTATTTTATTCTTTTTGATGCAATTGTAAATAGGATAGTTTTCTTAATTTCTCTTTTGATAGCTTGTTATTAGTGTATAGAAACACAATCTATTTCTATGTGTTAATTTTGTATCCTGCAACTTTACTGGATTCATTTATTAGTTCTAATAGTTTTTCAGTGGAGTGTTAAGGGTTTTCTGTATATAGTATCATGTCATCTGCAAATAAAGACAGTTTTACTTCTTCCTTTCCAATTTGGATGCCTTTTCTTTTTCTTGCCTAATTGCTGTGTCTAGGACTGCCAATACTATGTTGAATAAAAGTGGTGAGAGTGGGCATCCTTGTCTTGTTCCTGATCTTAAAAGGAAAAGCTTTCAGTTTTCACCATTGAGTATGATGTTAGCTGTAGGTTTGTCATATATGACCTTTATTATGTTGAGGTACATTACCTCTACACCCACGTTGTTGAGGATTTTTATCATAAATGGATGTTGAATTTTGTCAAATGCTTTTTCTGCATCTATTGAGATGATCATATGATTTTTATCCTTTGTTTTGTTAATGTGGTGTATCACCTTGATTCATTTGTGGGTATCAAACCATCCTTGCATCCCTGGCATAAATCCCATTTGATCGTGGTGTATGATCTTTTTAATGAATTGTTGAATTTGGTTTGCTAATATTTTGTTGGGGATTTTTGTATCTATGTTCATCAGGGGTATTGGCCTATAATCTTCTTTTTTTGTGGTGTCTTTGTCTGGTTTTGGTATCAGCTGGCCTCATAAAATGAGTTTGGAAGTGTTCCTTCCTCTTCAATTTTTTGGAATAAATTGAGAACGATAGGTATTAACTCTTCTTTGAATGTTGGGTAAAATTCACCTGTGAAGCCATCTGGTCCTAGACTTTTGTTTTTTGGTAGTTTTTAAATTACTGATTCAATTTCATTACTTATAATTGTTCTATTCAGATTTTCTATTTTCTTGATGATTCACTCTTGGAAGGTTGTCTATTACTAGGAATTTGTCCATTTTTTCTAGGTTTTCCAATTAGTTGGTGTATAATTGTTCATAGTAGTCTCTTGTGATCCTTTCTATTTCTGTGGTGTCAGTTGTAATATTTCTTTCATTTCTGATTTTATTTATTTGAGCTCTCTTTTTTTCTTGAAGAGTCTGACTAAAGATTTATCGATTTTGTTTATCTTTTAAAAAAACTAGCTTTTAGTTTCATTGATCTTTTCTATTGTTTTTTAAGTCTCTATTTCATTTATTTCTGCTCTGATCTTTATTGTTTCCTTCCTTCTACTAACTTTGGGCTTTGTTTGTTCTTTTTGTAGTTCCTTTATGTGTAAAGTTAGATAGTTTGAGATTTTTCTTGTTTCCTATGGTAGGCGTCTATCGCTATGAACTTCCTTCTTACAAGTGCTTTTGCTGTATCTCATAGATTTTAGAAAGTTGTGTTTCCATTTTCATTTGTCTCAAGGAATTTTTTGACTTCCTCTTTGATTTCTTTGTTGACTCGTTGGTTGTTTAGTAGCATGTTGTTTAGTCTCCATGTGTTTCTGTTTTTTCCAGTTTTCTTCTTGTAATTGAGTTCTAGTTTCATACTGTTGTAGTTGGAAAAGATGCTTGACATGATTTCATTCTTCTTAAGTTTATTGAGACTTATTTTGTGGCCTAACATGTAATCTCTCCTGGAGAATGCTCCATGTGCATTTGAATAGAGTGTGTATTCTGCAGTTTTTGGACTGGGCATTCATTTTGTTAAATGAATTTTTAACTGAATTCAAGTTATAAATAAAAAGAGATTGGTAAACAAATTGAAATTCAAACTGAATCTATGAATTGAAAATATTTTGGGACCAAACCATACCAATCATTGACTTTGATTCCCTGGCAAGTTGACCCTTAACCATTGCACTTCCCAGATTATGGGGGGAAACAATGAAAACAATAGTTTTTTTGAGAATACTCTATCCTAGGCCTCATTTCCTTCCCACATTATACCTTGAATCTCCAGTTTTTAAGGGGTCAGTATCTGCAGCCTCTCCATATAATGCTTATGTTGGAAATGTTATATTGAAAAGAACTCTGATGCTGAAAGAAAGGAAAAGTATTGTTTATTAAAGTGGTGCCTATTTTCAAACAAAATCCTTTCTTTCTTTTAGGGAACTCAGAGACAAAGCAGATATTCAATTTGGAGATAATGGAACAATATCTGCTGTTAGCAACAAGGCCTATGTTTTTGAACGAAACCAATCTGTTGGAGACCCTAAAACTGACTTAATTAGAACATTAAATATTCCTATATTGGTAAGTATCATTAGTATGGATTTTAAAAGAAAAGAAAAAGCTAAGTTAAGGCTATTATGGTTTTATATTTAGGAGCTATTAAATTATATTAAAAATATACATAGATAAAAAGAAAAATACATTTTTTTCCTTCTCTTCTTTAAAGTTCATCTTAGACTTCTTCTGAGGTCTTTCAAACAAGGTCTTTTCAAATGGTGACAAAAGGCAAATTTTAGTGTGTTTTTTTTTTTTTACAATTTCTTGCTATGTGTTCAGGATCAGCACTTGTGCAAGTAAACTTGTCCCTAGGATTTGGGGGGGGGTGTAGCTAATAATTTAAAAAATATTTACTTGCCCCTTGTTTTGGTTCAGAAACTCTAGCAATAGAATTTGCATACCATTTCTTACTTTAGATTTCTATCTTGGATTTTTAAGTTCTTAAAATATGTATTGACTGTTTTCCCCCTTTCCAAACAGCAGAGGCTGGGCTGTTGATTACAGCCTCGAGTGATTTCATCAGGCTCTGTTTATAATGGCAATTTCGTTAAATCATATCACACAGGAAACTTGCCGATTCACCTACACTAGCCCCCTCTGAGGCTCCCACTCTAACTCCTAGGTGACCACTACGTGTGCAGCTGGACACTGGTGGTGGACCCGGGACCTAGAAAGTATTAGATCTCAGATCTGGCCCTGCCCTGCTGCGTAGCGGTGTAGCATTTATAATGAGGCCCAGCCTCTGGCCGTGATCAGGAAGAAGGTAGCGCCACCTTGTGGCCAAAGATGCCAACGTATTTGCAAGCGTTTCTCCCCTTCCTCCTGCAGTATGGGGATAACTTAGAGCTCCAACTGGGGATGCTAAGCTCACGCTGACAAAATGTCATACTGAGAAAGGACAATAACTGAAGAGTCTTATTCTTGCACACGCAGCCAGAAAGGAGCTCGCTGGCTGACTTTTCAGCTATTTCATCTCAATGTTTACATTTAAGTTTCCAGCCTGCTCTGCTGAAGGGGCAGTGGAAGAGATTGGGGTGGGGCTGCTGCTATCTGAATTTGCCTGTGCTTCTCAGACCGCCATGGAATTGGCCCAGCTCCACATAATCCGGGAGCTTATAGACGCCCTGTTGAAGGCCTACCGGCAGAAGCTCTTTGTGACGCACACTGTTGACGAACTGCTCTGGGGCTACAAAGATGAGATCTTGTCCCTCATCCACATTTTCAAACCTGAGATCTCTCCCTATTTTGGCCTGTTCTATGGGGTAAGTTGAATTTTCTTTTCAGAGCCTCTTTATTCAGCTGGGGGTGGGGGCACCCCAAGCCACATTTCATCTTCACTTTGGGTTTCTTCCAGAAGACCAAAATTGCGTAGAAGTCTAGATGTCTTGTAGAGTACATGAAAAACAAGTAAGTGTTTTAGTAGGAAATAAAAACTTCTCCCACAATTTCAACATGCTAGCAGCACTGACTTTGAATGAAACATACACAGAGTTTGGCTGTGCTGTTAGTCAGATGCGATCTTTCAAACTACCATAAATATCAGTGATCAGTGCCAGGTCTGATTTTGATGGCTTGAGGACTAAACCCATGCATCAGCCTGACAGAGACAAATAAAAAACTGAATAGAGATAGAATAGTCTGTTAGAGGGGGGAGCTACTTGTTAGATTTTCAGACATGTCATTTGTGAAAGAGGCTGGATAATTTGAAACTCTATGTGTCCTTCATCTGTGATTCCTTATGCTTATAATAGAATTTTGTGTCATTCCTTGTAGATTTTTTGTACTTTGGTTTGAAACCAAAAATATCAGCATTCAAGTAATTATTATTCAAAACATATGTTATTGCTGCCTGAGTTTCCAAAGAATTAAAATTGAAAGCAATAAAAATATCTATATTAACCCCCTACTCTCCCCCTCCCAAAAAAAACTTGAGTGAAATAGATAGTTGGGAGGTTGGTAAATGACAAACTTAAACTCAAGAAAAAAGTGTTAGATGAGTGATGGGAGCTGGGATTGCCATGAGTTTCCTCATCTTTAAGTTTGTGGTTATTATCCGGCTCTAACTACTCAAGAATCTCACCTTCATCATGTAATCCCTTACCAATTCAGTTCCTCTGTGGCAAATGGTGATAACACTGCCCCTGTGCCTTCAAGGGTATACAAAACTTATAAATTGTCCAAACAAAATAGGAAACAAGTTTTTAATATTATCTATGCGAGGGGTGGCAGTCCTGGGAGTAGGATCCCGCCAACCCTAAATCCTTGACTCTGGGTGAGCAGACCCAACAGGTGTTCCCTAGAAGGTCCCGTCTCATAGGATCCCAGCTTCCACAGGACCAGAGGAAGCACTGATTTCTTGTTAAGCTGAGACTAGACCTCCTTTCTAGAAATAATTTCAGGAGAACTCCTACAGAGAGATACAAAAGTTTCCTTAAGGGCTTTTGGTCCCAGTGGCTTCTGTCCATCTGCCAAGTAGATCCTGTTCTAAATACCTCAGTATTTTTCAGATAATTTTCCTTGTATAGCTTGCTTTTTTGTTTTTACATCATTGACTTCATTGGACTTACAACTATTATCCTTATATATCTTTTTAAAATGTAACCCACATTTATAGACTGATGAAGAAATTGGCATCTCTGCTTTCCTGTGGCAAGGATGTGCTGTTTTATTATTATTTTTTCTTTCTCTGTCCTTGCGCTTTGCTTCTCTTTGCAAGCACCCCTGGACCTCCAGAAGGCCTCACTGGTGAAAAGCCCTGGACCATTGCTCGGTCAGATTCGTACCTTGAGAGGATTTCCCACATCCGGGAAACGAGCATGAGACTTAGACTCGGAGGGCTGAGATTTGCATTCTGACCTTTTCAGTTTATAACTGTGGGACTTTTCTGAACCTCACTGTCATCGTTTGTAACTAGAGACTAAAAGCGCTCACACTTCAAAGGCTGTTTTGAAAGGCTGAGTGAGAATTCCATAAAAGTGCTCTGCAGACTACGAATTACAATACGCATTTCAGGAACCAGGATTCTTTCTCCCCTCCATGACTGGCTCAGAAAATGACCCTGAATTAATAGGAAGGACTGGTATATGTTTCCATTTTGGAGCCAGATAAACTCTCTGTAGTGTTGTTGGTAAAAAGGCACTGTTCTTTGTTGTTTTTCTTCCGCTCTCGCCAAATACCAACTCTTTAGCCAGTGGCGCAAAAGTTCACGCTTGAGCTATTGTTCATTCAAAGACCCTGGTAGGATGTGGGGTGCTCACCTTCACTGGCTTCACTGCGCACCCGCTGTTCTGCACCCGCCCGAGCCCGGCCTCAAATCTCTTCTTAATCCTAGTGGCGTTCAGCCAGCATTCCCCTGTGATACACTAGGCCTGTACGCCTGTTGCACCTGCTCCACTATGCAGTGTGATGCAGAAAGAAAACCTTAGTTAATGCCGTTGGACACTTTTCCTTCAAGGACTTCAGTGATGAAACAACCAACCAGGTAATGGGGAAGGACAGAGTATGAGAACGAATAGGATGAGGTGAATGTACACAGTATTGGCACAGTTCCTCAGAACTCCTGAGGAAAAGGGACCTGGCTACATATCAGTTGCTCTTATTTGCGTTTTGCAAGGCCAATCAGTATATCTATACCCATTGATTTTAGGGTACCTCTGTTCTCCTTGGCATGAGAGAGTTCAAGCACCTCCTAGTGTGGGCTCTTGGATGTATTAAATTATAGTTGTTGGAAAGTATCTTTGAGAAGTCAGCCAGTCCTGGGAGGATGGATTATGCTTGTGTTATGCTAGTGTTGTGAAGATTGTAGTCTTATTCTCAGGTATCCGTATGAAAGAACATTTCTCACCGCCCGGAGTAATGTATTCCTTGTATCCAACCCACATCCCTACCACAGTGACACAAAACCTGTTTATTCCTGCTTGTCCTCAAATAACAGAAGTTCTAGTGAGAGTCAGGAAAGCATTCACATTCATATTACCTGACTCTTCTGCAGATAACAGCTGGGGAGAACCCTTTTTGAGATACTCTGAAACATTTAAATGCTAACCACTTAGCTTAGCCCACATCTGAGTTAAGCTGAGAACTTCAAGAAGCAATATACACACATTTTTAAAATTGATGGTTCAGCATTTTTTTATATGGGGAGTTTGAATTTGCTCCTAAATTGTTGTAACGTTCGCATTGCCACTTTTAGAGAGGAGTCCTTTCTCATATCTTAAGGTCACCTAAGATTTCATATGTGGAACACGACACAACCATTTAGTGTGTGGACCGTGTTGATATAGTGACATAGTTGGTGAAATAATATTAAGTGACAAAAAGCAGAACCCAAAGTAGGCAAAAAACATGAAAAGAGAATTCACAAAGGTTATGAATATTTTTTAAGGTAAATAGCTGAATGACATGAGAAAAAGAGTTCAACTTCAGTGAATACAGAAATGCAAAAAAAAGATAAACCATTTTTTTGTTTAACAGAAGTTAGCAAAGTTGAACAAAAGTGATTTGAGGAATGTAAATTGATTTATCTTGCTATTTCCACCACTTTCCAGCTGGGTGACCTTGAGCAACTTGATAATATGTATCAAAAGGCTTAATAATGTTCTTCTTTTATCTAGTAATTTTACTGCTAGTGGTCTGTTTAGAAAAAAGTACTGAAAAGGTTTTTAGGCATAAAGATACTCATACAATGTTATTTATAGTAGGAAAAAAATTCAAAACTAAATATCTAATGATAAGAGAATGGTTAAGTAAATTATTTCCATATAATATTATGGAGTCATTAAATTCTATAAAGAACTTTTGGTAACATGGGAAATATTTTATACACTTAAGTAAAAAAAGTATATATGTATATTCATATATAATATATATTGTATATATGAATATATATACACAATTGTGTATATGAATAAAAATTGTGTACATGTATTATATATGTAACAGATATATAATATATCTTAGTTTGATAAACAAGTTTTGTGTAGGAAAAAGACTGAAAAGAAACAGACCACAATATTAATAGTAGTTCCCACTGGTTGGGAGGATGATGAATAATTGATATTTTTTTATACGTCATTCTGTACATTCTAATGAGAATTTATTACTTTTATAATTAGAAGAAAAACCTACTTTAAAAAGAAAGCAGAACACAAGTATGAGGCATCAACTTATTACCTGAAAATGTATCTGTGTTAATACCCAAAAATATATTTGTGACAAATCACATTGATCCAGAGATCAATGGAATGGAAATAGAACCGTCTTATATTATTTTATTATTCTTAGTATATCTGTAAGGTGCCTGTCACGTAATAAGCCTTGAATAATAAACATTTAAGAGAATGAAAACAATGTAATCGTAGTATTAGAATGTCTGTACCACGAGGGCAGCAGTTTTGTCTGTTTTGTTCACTAGTGCATCTCTAGCACCTAGAATAACGCTTGACACGCTGGGCGCTCAGTGAGTGCTTGTGGATAAATGAGTAGGTGCTGGAGCCCAGTGCCAAGAGCATCAGCCTGTGGCCTGTGTGGTCACAGCCTGGGCTCCATCCAAGCTCCACCATTTACTGGATGAGTGATTTGGGAAGTTATTTAACTTCCTAGATTTCTCATCTATACAATGAGGGTAAAATAAAATAGTCTGTGTCTGTGTTAGTTTTCCATTGCTGCTGTAACAAATATCCACAAATTTAGTGACTTAAAAAAACACAAATTTATTATCTTCTAGATGTTCTAGATGTCAGTAGTCCTAAACTCAAGATGTCGTCAGGGCTGTGTTCCTTCTGGCGGCTCTAGGGGAAAATCCATTTCCTTGACTTTTGCAGCTTGTAGAGGCAGCCTTCAGTTTTTGGCTGTGGCCCCTTCCACCATCTTCAAAGCAAATAGTGAGACGTCTTCAATCTGTCTCTCCCTCTGACCTCTGCTTCTGTCTTCACACCTACTGCTCTGCCTCTGACCCGCCTGCCTCCCTCTTTGTAAGGACCCTTGTTATCACATTGCGCCCACCCAGATAACCCAGGATAGTCTTCCCGTCTCAAGATCCTTAACATAATATCTGCAAAGTCCCTTTTGCCTTGTAAGGTAACATCTTCACGGGTTCTGGGAATTAGGATGTGGACATCTTTGTGGGGGCTGTTATTCTGTCTACTACAGTATTTTATGTGATGCTTGTAAGGATTTCATGAGATAATTCATGCAAAAATTTTAGATCAGTGCCAGGCATGTTATAAATACTCAATAATTGTTAGCTTCTCTTACTTTACTATTATGGAGGAACCCATGCTATTTCCCAGAAATCAAAACTCCATCCACAGATAAGAATTTGTAAGAATGTATAGTATAGACGTCTGTCTGTGCCCTTAAGAAGCATAACTTGGAGAGAATATACAACTGAAGAAACCTTAACTGAAAATGGGGCTGTATTCATACCACTTTCTTCTAGTGCAGCTATTCATGTATAATTGAGTCCTGGCCCTGGACTTAGGCTTTCTAATTTTTTGTTATTGAGATACAATTCATTTCCCACAAAACTCATCATTTTAAAGTGTACAATTTAGTGGTTTTTAGTATATTCACAAGGTTGTGCAACCACCACCACTATCTAATTCTAGAACATTTTCATCATCCCCCCCAAAAAAGCCACATACCCATTAGCAGTCACTTCCATTCCCCTCTCCCACCAGCTCCTGGCAACCGCTAATCTAGTTTCTGTCTCTATGGATTTGCCTGAGAATCCATAGAATTTTTTTTGTATAATTCAAAGATTGGTATCTTTTTTTGTTTTGTAAAGGAAAATAAGGTTGTGTTTTTTGTTTGAAACAAAATATAAGCAAACCCCCTCCCTGCCCAGCCTCTGTCCTGCCCCCATGGGGTGCTGGGACCCCTGGTCCTGGGTGTCAGAGGCCAGGCTGTCCTGGCCTGAGAGGAGAGGAGCCGAGCACTCTCTGTGTGGGAGCTTCCTCAGAGCCAGAGAGGAAGGGCATTTGGGAAGGGAGTTTGGCTTTGTTAGGCAAAAAATAAAATAAAAAAACTCAACATAGATGCCCATTACACAAATGGGGGCTAAGAGGCACCACCTCTGAGGTGGAACCATCTCTGGCAGTTGGACCTTCATACACAAGTTGCACATTCATATGTTATGGACATTCATATAAATGGAATCATACAACATATGACCTTTGTGTCTGGCTTCTTTTATTTATAATAACGTTTACAAGGTTCATCCATGTCGTAGCATATATCAGCACTTCATTCCTTTTTATGGCAGAGAAATATTCCATTGTATGGATACCACACTTTGTTTATCTGTTCATCAGTTGATGTGGATTGTTTCTACTTTTGGCTATTTTGAATAATGCTGCAATGCTATAAACATTCGTATACAAGTTTTTGTATGAACACTGGATATAGATCTTGGAGTGGAATTCTTCTGGATATATACATAAGAGTGGAATTTTGGGGTCATATGGTAATTTTATATTTAACTTTTTGAGAAATTGCCTAATCGTTTTTTTCTACAGCAGCTACAACATTTTACATTGCCACCCACAACGTATGAAGGCTTCACTTTCTCCACATCCTCACCAACACTTGTTATTTTCCTTTTTTATTTATCACCATCCTAGTGGGTATGAAGTAATAGCTCATTGTGGTTTTGATTTGCGTTTCCCTAATGACTAATGATGTTGAGCATCTTTTCATGTACTTATTGGCCATTTGAATATTTTCTTTGGAGAAATGTCTCTTTAAATCCTTTGTCCATTATTTAATTGGGCTCATACTTTTTAAAACCATAAAGTAATAATATGGTTGATATAATATTTAGCAAAACAGTCACTCTATTCCCTAGTTCCAGTTCAGTCTCATGTAGCAATTAGGCCCAACTAGGACAGTTTCATGAAGATTAAATTTGTTAGTTACTGCCTCAGTTAGGGTTCTCAAGAGAAGCAGAATCAGTAGGAGATCTATATCTCTATCTGTCTATCTATCGAGAGACTTATGTTAAGGAATTGGCTTATGCAATTGTGGGGGCTGGCAAGTGGCAAGTTTGAAAACCATAGGACAGGCTAGCAGGCTGGAAACTCAGGCAGATTTCTATGTTGCAGTCTTGAGAATTCCTTTTCTCCAGGAAACCTCAGATTTTGTTTTTAAAGCCTTCAACTGATTGGATGAGTCCACCCACATTGATGGTAATCTCTTAAAGTCAACTGACTGTGACTGTTAATGCCATCTCTGAAATGCAGCAACATCTAGACTAGTGTTTGAGCAAACAGCTGGGCACCGGAGCCTAGCCAAGTTGACACACAAAATTAACCATCACGGTTACCTTATATGATCATATTCACTTATTTTCAGAAAAATGGGACTAACGATGGAAACTATGTCTTTCTAACTGGAGAAGACAATTACCTTAACTTTTCAAAGATTGTGGAATGGAATGGAAAAACGTAAGTCCAATGATTTATCAGTGTAATTATTTTTTAAATTTTCATTTAAAGTGAATGTCCACTTATATATTATTTCAAAAAAATTTTAGCACTGTCATTTTTTGGATGAAAAATCTATAAATATGTAAAATATATTTATAATTATTATTTTATAAATCAGGATGAGGGTAATGCACTTTACAAATTAAATATTAATGGTTTGTACATTTATCATGGTGAGGCGAGAATTACGAGTCAGTGAGAGTTTCCCTCCTCTGCTTAGTGATTGAGTGATGTGTAGCTGCAGCACAAATACTTTTCAAACCACTACATACATGTTTTTTGGGGGAAGGAAGAAGTTCTCTTTTTAATTTAATTTAGTGGTTGTGGATTGTTCATGTATTTTTCTTTAAAGGTGAAATACATTTGAGTTCAGTATTACAACATTTCAAAATTTCTTTTAATATTTATAACTTATAAACAAACTACTTCCAAAAAGGGGCTGAGGCAGCTTGCAATAAAGCTATATATGAAACAAGATATTTTTTTTAAGTCAGAGAAATTAGAAACCTTTGAGAGGAAAGGAGGCTAATTATTCAGGGACTGAGGTAAGAGGAGTTCTGTTCTTGAACGTTAAATTTACTTCTAAGCTTCCCAGAAATACAGGCGAAAAAACTGGTGTGGAATATAGGGGAACTCTATACTATCTTCGCAACTTTTCTGTAAATCTCAAACTATTTTTAAATAAAAAGTTTATTTAAATTTTAAAAAGCACATATTTCTGTGTACATAAACATATTTGCATGCATGTGCTTGCACGCATGGATGCACGCGCGCACACGCATACACACACCAATATATAAGATTCCTGAAAGAATATGTAAGCAACTGGCAACAGTGTTGCCTCTGGAGGAGGGTGCTGTGCTGGAAGGGAAATTTACTTGTAAACAGAATATAGCTGGTTTTTGTTTTAAAACCAATCTGTTATTTTCTTTCCAGTCTTTTAATAGGAGAGTTTAATCCTTTTATATACATATTATAATTACTAGTACATTTATGGTATAATGATATTTAATATATTTGGAATTTTTTTTTCTAGTTTATGTCTATTCTATCCTTAGGTTTTTATGATTCATATTTAATAATATTTTCCCGACGGAACCTAAGGCTATTTATTGTCTCTCTTCTCCTTCCAAACAGGACAATAACTTTACCCATTGCTTAACACACACGCATCTTCCGTGTTATTCTTGTCTACAACTTGTTTCACCTTCTTAGGAAGCCAAATATAAGTAAAAAGTTCGTTATTTTTATAGTAAATATTTAAGTGTACAGACATATTTTATTAATTTTTTGTCCCCTTTTCACATCTTCTCTCAAGTTTAGTTTTCTTCTTGTTGAAGATTATCCATTCGTACAATGTTCTTAACCAGAGGCAGTTTTGCGCCCCCAGGGAACATTGGCGATGTCTGTACACATTTTTGTGTGTGTGTGTGAGGAATATTAGCCCTGAGCTAACATCCATCCTAATCCTCCTCTTTTTGCTGAGGAAGACTGGCTCTGAGCTAACATCCATTGCCAATCCTCCTCCTTTTTTTCCCCAAAGCCCCAGTAGATAGTT